TGAGAAATATTCTCAGACTGGTAATACAATGGTGGGTTTGGCATAAGCTGCCTCAGGGATTCTTCTACACGTCTGGGGAGCCCCCATCTCTGGAAATGCATCCATTTTTTTACATGGACCTCAAGAAACCTGAGGACTTTAGGACTGAGGAATGGCAGGTGGGCAGGGAGGACCATACTCAAGGCCATAGAATGTGTTTGGTTAGTGTTCTCTGGGTTTTGGGACAGCAAAGAGTCCTGGGACTTCAATTGATACTGTCCATTGTTCTCCTGGACAAAATTGGTATTGCTCTGTAGCATCTCCTGCTGATTCACTGGAGCCTCAGGCTCCTTGATCCTTGGGGAAGACGTAGTTTCTGGGTCTCTGAGCACATCTGGCACTTGAAATTCTTGCTCTAGCTGGAGGTGCTCAGCCCAGTAATCTCGGATTCCAACTGCATTGGTTGACTGGGCAGCTGACTGGGTTAAAACTGTCTGATCCATTAATTGTGACAGTGTTGGTGTTACAGATGCCAGAAAAAGCTGTCTGGGTTGCCAAGGACAAAGCTCTAGACTTTGCTTAACAGACACACTAGACATAGACAACATTTCAAGGCAAGTAGTGTCCTGTGATGGCTCTGCTATAAGGGGGGAGATCTTGTTATTCTCACCCACCAACAATTCCTTAATCTCCAGAGCCACAGTATTGCAGATTTGGCAGCAGGGATCTGCACACAGGACTCGCCGCACACTTCCCTCCTCAGGAAGCCAGTCCTGGCTGGGAAGGGAAATATGGGAACCATTAATGTTGGATCAACTCTTCCATCTCTGAAGCGTGTGGCCTGTGGTTGACAATGCCCTTCTCTAGTTCTTCAAGGCCTGGAGCCTGCACGCCCCTTGATGTCTATGTCCCTGTTTTTCTTCCTAAGAAAATGCCATTTGGCAAGATATGGTGGGCTAGGATGAGGGTCTCGGGCTTGTTGGGCAAGTTCTCAAACAACCTATGGGAGTGTACAGTCTTCAGAGGACTAGGACCTGGGGTCAGTTCTCTGTAGTCCTTGAGAAGCTGAATTAAGAGAAAGAAACTAGGCAGATGGGACATTGCCAGGAATACCACCAGGTAGAACCTGGATCAGTCTCATTTGAGGCTGAAGAACCCAGAGCCTTCTGTTCAGTGCATTCAAACTATGGAAAATGAGGCCCTTGTGAGATCACTGCATTCTGGAAGCTATTTGGTATCCCTGCTACTTTACTCAGCATCTCTTGGGACCTAATCCTTTTATCTAGAGATCTTAAGGAGAGGGTAAGATATAGGTTTATATCTAATGGCTATCCCATGAGCTGGCTTCCTTGAAATTGGAACTGAAAAGATTATGTCAACAAGGTCCAGCCAGACTCAGGAGTCTTTCTTCCCTTAAAAAAATGTAGCTGTAAGGAGAATATGACAATGAGGATTTCTTTATGGAAAATCTATTCTCTTGACGGATAATTTATCTCATGTCTGAATGCAACCCTATGTAATGTCTTTTATGAATTATGCACTAGTCAAATTCTGAATTGTACAACTACTGTTACCCTAGCACAGAGCTAAACTGGGTGACTCATTCCTTTTGAGGCATGTGAATCCCACTCTTCCCTGGCAACCCTCTCAACCAATGAAGCAGCCTCCACTGTATAAGTCTCCCCTCTAGCCACTTTCCCTCTCCACATCTCTGCCCCAGGCCTAGTCAAAAAACTATCACAGGCCAGGCTGGTTTTTATGAAACTGCAAAGAGTAAGAGATCACCTTTTCATGACAGACAGCAGATTCCATGGCTTCTCAGCTTCTTCCTGGGAAAGTCTCCTAGCTGAGGAACCAGGAGACAGTGTTATGTGCCATGGGAGAGTTTTGTAGACATCCTACAGTTAAATAGTGAGGCCTCTGACTATTATCAAGAGGAGAATGAAATCCTGAAAAGTCAGTGCTCTAAGGCATGTGTATGTACAGCATTACAATTTACAACATGCTGTCCCATGTCCCATTTGATTTTCACAACCACAATCTGAGTGAGGTAGGATCATCATCATTATGCCCATTTCATGGATAAGGATGAGAGATGAAATGACTTCCATAGGGACATAAAACTGGTAGGTGATACAATTAAGGACATTGGCACTCCCCCTACTTTCTTAATTCTTCATTCCTGGGGCAGTAAGACAGATAATTATGGAACACCCCCAAGTTCTGATTTCCCACCCATGGAAGTAAGTCTTCTGTGAAAGTTGTCAGGAAATTGGACTTCTGTGGTCAGAGCACCTAGCTGTTGGCACCAGGGGTCATGGAGGGACAGGATCCATGGGAACCTCACCCATGTGGAAGGTACTCAGAGGAAGGATTGAGACTTTACCTCTTGATACTGCATCTCTAGCCCTTTGCCGGACTTTGCGGTGGCGCTGAAAGACAAAAACATTAGGATGTGAAGCTGGGACACCATTTACTTTTTCATGTCCAAAATGAGACAAACCTGATATACATTTCACATTCCCTTTCTATATATGTATCTCTTATATTTATACATTCTCCTACATTTCCTTTATCTATTCCACCTTTTTTTTTTTACCCTAACATTTCCCTTCTTGGCTTATTTCTGATTCACTTGGAAGCTCTCCATTCTCATATCTCTTGTCCCTATTTCTATGACAATTTTTTTTTTTTTTTGAGACAGGGCCTCAAGCTGTCCCCCTGGGTAGAGTGCCGTGGCATCAAAGCTCACAGCAACCTCCAACTCCTGGGCTCAAGCGAGTCTCCTGCCTGAGCCTTCCAAGTAGCTGGGACCACAGGCGCCCGCCACAACGCCCGGCTATTTTTTGGTTGCAGCCTTCATTGTTTGGCAGGCCCAGGCTGGATTTGAACCCGCCACCTTAGGTGTATGTGGCTGGCACCTTAGCTGCTTGAGCCATAGGCGCCAAGCCTTCTATGACAATTTTTGCAGGGAGCTTAGGATGGTATAGGAGGAAAAGTAGAATAGAATAAAGGATAAGCAGTTCTAACAACCAAGACTTGTGCTTAAAAAGTTCACCAACCAGAAAAATCCCTCTTTTTGTGAGGTCTTCTGAGATCCTGTGAGGTTGACCCCATTTATCTAGTTCTCAACCCTAGCCAAATAGAGAGTTTCTTGGCTTTTCAGAAAGCCAAGAAGGGAGGGTCTGGTAAGGAATCATAGTCTCTAGAAGAAAAATACTATACAAAGGCAAATGAAGGTATGTTATAAAAATTGGAAGGGAGGATTATAAGGCGGAGACACTGAGAACTTAAAAGCTTCTAGTCTGAGGCTTAATTCATTCAGTTGTGGTCATAGTGTTTCCTTACCCAGCAGCAGCTCCTCTTAGGCTCCAACCTCAATCCATGGTGGCTCCTTTTCACTTGCCAGATAATTAGGATAATGATGAAGATAGAGCCATAGGTATATAAAGGATAGCCAACATCCCACAAAACAAAAGTAGGGCTCAACATGGTCGAAACCTCATTAGAATGAGGAGACCAGCCATCTCTATATCTAGGCGTTCAGGGTCCTAGTGCCTAATGACTCCCAACACTAGACCTTGTCGTGTTCACCTCACAGAGGATGGAACCAGGCCACCAGACTACATCACAAAGCCCTCCTGTTTCATAAGGCACGTGCAGTATGGAAGCTCATATGCTTGTCAATCTGTAGATGAAGGTGTGTTATCTGTGAGGGAACCTGGGACTAAATGTGTCAAGCTCATGAGCAGTGCCTATTTCCTACTTTCTTTTTGCCCTCCACTTCCTACACCAGTATGATGGCTCAGCTGTCTCCTTCACAACTATATGGTCACCCATCTCTGAAAACTGAGAGCTTTGGCACATAGGGCACCCTATGAAAAAAGGTGGTTGGGACATGGGAACCTTTACCAATTCTCTGATTTGTTCTCTTGTTCTGAAAATATACCGGAGAAGCACACAGGAGTTTAGGAAGGACACAGAGGTTATGCCTTAGAAATGGAGAGGTTTGATGTTATAGAAAATGCATCATGTTGCCAGACTTCAGGTTATATTACAAGGCTATACTGATCAAAACAGCATGGTACTGACACAAAAATAGAGACACAGATCTATGGAATAGGATAGAGAACCTAGTGATGAACCCAGCCATGTATCATCATTTAATCTTTGATAAGCCTAACAAAAACATGCAATGGGGAAAAGAATACTTATTTAACAAATGGTACTGGCAAAACTGGTTTTCCACATAAAGAAGACTGAAATTAGACCTATACCTCTTACCATTGACAAAAATTGATTCTTGTTGGACAAAATATTTGAATTTAAGACATGAAACAATAAAAATTCTAGACAAGAGTGTGGTGAAAACACTTGAGGATACTGGCCTGGGAAAAATCTTTATGAGGAAGAGCCCCCTAGCAATTGCAGCAACACCAGAAATAAATAACTGGGACTTGATCAAGCTAAAAAACTTTTGCATAGCTAAGAGTACCACAAACAAAGCAAACAGATATCCCTCAGAATGGGAGAAGATTTTTGCATGTTATGAATCTGGCAAAGGCCTGATAACTAGAATCTACAGAGAACTCAATTTAAACAATAAGAAAAGTGCAAACGACCTTGTCTATAAATGGGCAAGTGATTTGAACAGAAACTTCTCTGCAGATGACAGACAAATGGCCAACAAACATGTGGAAAATTCTCATTGTCTTTAATCATCAGAGAAATGCAAATCGAAACGACTCTAAGATACCACCTAACTCCAGCAAGATTAGCCCATAGCAGAAAGTCCTAAAACACCAGATGCTGATGTGGATGTGGAGAGAAGTGAACACTTCTACACCACTGGTGGGTTTGCAAACTAATACAGCCCTTTGGAGAGAAGTATGGAAAATCCTCCAAGATCTAAATGTAGACCTTCCATTTGACCTGCATTCCCATTACTAGGTATCTACTCAGAAGAATATAAATCATTTTACCACAAAGACATTTGCACTAGAATGTTTGTTGCAGCTCAGTTCATAATTGCCAAGTCATGGAAGCAACCTAAGTGCCCATCAACCCATGAATGGATCAACAAACTGTGGTATATGTATACCATGAAACATTATGCAGCCATTAAAAAAGATGCAGACTTTACATTTTCTACATTTACCTGGATGGAGGTGAAATATGTTCTTCTTAGTAAAGTATCACAAGAATGGAAAGATGAATATCCTATGTACTCCATACTAATATGAAATCAATATATAAACAATTATGTGTTCCTATGAACAATAAAACATTAATATGGTCCAATTTGGGGATAGATGGAAGCAGAGGAGGGGAAGGGGGAGGATGTTTGGCAGAAGAGGGTGGGCCTGAGGCAGGATCTCACCTACTGTGCACATTGTGAGGGTGTATAACATGCCCCCTGGGGGAGGGGCTCTTCTACAAATGGAACTTTACCCTGGAAGTGAGAACAATGTAAGCTAAATATTATACCCTCATACCAATTTGAATAAAGTTTTTAAAAAAAGATTGGAAGAAAAAAAAGAGAAAATTTTAGTTTTAAATGTATTATGATTATAGGTACATAATAGTTGTGTGTCCTCTAGATTATATGTGATGTTTTGATATAGGCATTTGACTTGGCGCCTGTAGCTCAAGGGTCTAAGGTGCCAGCCACATACACCAGAGCTGGCGGGTTCGAATCCAGCCCAGGCCTGCCCAACAACGATAACTTCCACCAAAAAAATAGCCAGGCGTTGTGGTGGGTACCTGTAGTCCCAGCTACCTGGGAGGCTAAGGCAAGAGAATCACTTAAGCCCAGGAGTTGGAGGTTGCTGTGAGCTGTTATGCCATGGCACTCTACCCAGGGTGACAGCTTGAGGCTCTGTCTCAAAAAAAAAAAAGGATATTTGCACTAGACTGTTTATTGCAGCTCTATTTACAATTGCCAAAATGTGGAAACAATTTAAATGCCCACCAACCCAGGAATAGATTAACTAGCTATGGTATATGTGTACCGTGGAATACCATTGAGCCATTTATAAAGATGGAGAATAGCATTGCTTGTACTCTTACAATAAAAGAAACCACACACACAACGAAATCACAAGACACTGTAAATTTACAACTTTTCTTGAACTGATCAGTGAGTTAACCTTAATCTAAGGAAAGTCATCTCCAAGGAGATATGGCACAGATATGGTTGCTTATTTGGAGCCAACTGCTATCCACCATCAAGTTAGTAATAGTTCAGTCAAAAGTCTTAATGAATTGCTATAGGCCCAGTTAGGCCAGCACAATAATACAGAAACCCTGGGATCTATGAGAATAGGGAAATTCACACTTACTTTTAGGCTTCTTTCTGTGGACCTTACTGTATGTCCGCAATAGAGATTGTGGGGCAGTGTGACTCCTGAGAAAGTCTCCCTTGTGTTATAGGCCTAGGGGAGAGGAAGAACAGCTGCTTCAGGGAAAAGCACCAACCCTTTCCCAATGTCTTCTCCTCCTCTTCTCTATGAGAACAAAAGTCTTAATCTTCTGGGTCAAGGGCAGTAAATTCTGTCACTGGTAAGTAAATCATATTTCAGTGAAGACCCATTGTAGCTGGAGAAAGGAAAAAGGAAAAAACCTTCTACCCTTATGGGCTCCTGGACTCCCAGATGTCTTCCATTTGGGGCTGGGAGAGGGTCATGGAGAATGCCTTACTCCTGAGATGAAGGGGCACAGTGCCTGTCTAAAACTGTTGCTGAATCCGGAAAACAGAGATTATCCTCCCAGTCCCTACCATCAACCAGGCTAATAAGCATTGAGTAACAAGTTACAGCAATCTGCTGCTAAAATAGCATCAAGAGCATGAAGAAGACACTTTCTAAAGCACAGGCACAAGGGTTACATGTAAAGCTGAGGGTGGAACAGACATTGAGAAAACTTCTGGCAAATCAGCCCCAGTCATAAACACATGGTAATGTCAGGGAAACCTGGAGCCTGTTGAGTGCTGACAGTAACACAGTAAGAACAAAACCCAAAATACAGTTTAACTCCTGACTACACAGTGTCCCAAAAGTCATTCCTAAAGTTGCCATACATGGAGACAATGGGAAACTGTAGCTAAATGTTCCTTTATTTTCAAAGTATTCATTATAAAATTTTACAAAACATTTATAAAATATTTTCTGTATGTTGGCCACCTCTTTGTAAAATTTTGTAGTGATCATCTTTGAAGTACTCCCTTTGGCCATCTGGTGACCAGAGTGATATTCAGCAGTGAGATATGTAGCACTTTTTCTAGAATGAGTTCATGAACTTAATTGCCTGACCTTCATATATTGCCATGGGCACAGTCAATGGGGAGCCAACTTCAACTGGAAATGTGATATCAAAGGCTTGAGATTTTGAAGAATTAATAAACTGCCTATATGTGACAAAGGAACAAACTCATGGTGCTGTAAGTTCAAATTATATTCAGGGTAACAATAAGCTTTCTGTGGCAGACCACACACAAGGTGCAACCTAGATCAGTGCTATACTCTGAGAAAGTGATCTGTAACTGCTTTATGATGTAGAAAAAAAATCACCACTTTTTGCCAAAATAGTGGTTTTCAACCTTATTGATTTGTTACTAAATATTGGGACAAAATCTTTAAATGTTTTATCTGATGAAAAAGACAATTTAAGTTTACTTTTTATAATATGCCAGTTTAACTCACTTCCATTCCATACATGTTATGCTGTTAGGGAAAGAAAGAGGTAGAGTTACTTCACATATGAGGGAAATTGTGCACAGGAATACACTGGGAATTTAAATGTCATTTGCCAAATGTATCAGGGCAGAAAAAAGGTTGAGGGCTGCTGCTCTAAAAAAGTAGGTCCTGGATGGGCAGTGGCTCGTGCCTATAATTCCAGCGCTTTGGTAAGCTGAGGAAGGAGGGTTGCTTGATGCCAGGATCCAGGAATCAAGATCAGCCTGGGTATTGAATGTAGTGAGACTTCTTTCTCTACAAAAAAATTTAAAAATTTTAGCTGGGCATAGTGGTATGTGCCTATGGTCCTAACTACTTGGGAGGCTGAGGCAGGAGGCTCACTTGAGCCCAGGAGTTTGAGGTCACAGTGAGTTATTATCAAGCCACTGCATTCCAGCCTGGTGACAGAGCAAGATCCTGTATTTAACAACAACAACAACAAAAAAAAACAACCCCAAAACCAAAAAAAAAAAAAAAACAGGTCCTGCCAAAATCAAGTAATTTTTAGCACAGGAACATCCTGTGTAGATGAAGGAGAGGATATCATCTGTCATGACTTGGCAAGGCTTTTTATCCAGGTCCATGACATACTCATTAATCACCTGCTCTACCAGCCAGAAAGGTGTTGAACAAGAGGTCAGTGGTGAGTTACAGCTTGACAGGAATACATTAGAACAGGGGGAGGAGGCACCAAGTAATCTTCTAACTAGCAGGTTTGGACAAAAGCTGATGCATTGCGGAGATGGATGCTAAAGGAGCACAGTGGGTGTACAGAGCACACAGAAGCAGAGAGAGGA